GTACAGCTTCTGGGAGAATGGGAAACAATAGGATTCAATCAAAGGGAGAATACGTCCAATTTCTTAAATCAAAGAGCCCCCCCCCCTCACTGACATCTAGGCACCTCCCTTAAAGGGTTTTACTACTATAATGTACTCAACGTATATTAAATGTTTGATTCACTGTTCCTGGCACCATTCCCTTAATGCTTAACGACAAGTTTTACCGATTCCTGGTGTCCAGAACCTGATTATACCTACTCCCGAAACTGTGCAGTGTTTGTCTCCCTTGTACATTTCACTCCCAAGACTCAGGCGAAAAAGTGTTTCCTGATGTCCATGTGGTTCACTGCAACTTTTACCGCCATCTGTCCCCTAGATTATTCTCCTCACACCTAATACTGCCTATCCCCTTCAAATTTACCTTTGATGGGTTTCGAGTTTTTCTGCTCCGAGCCCAATTTGGGCTAGGATGTTCACTATGTATTCCCTGGAGTGCTTTGTATATCCATCCTGGTCCTCTCGTTTAGGGTTGATATGCTGCTGAAATTAGCATGCAGTCGATACATGTTTTTTCTTGTGTCTTTTGCTTTGTACATTGTTTTCTATAGGATCACGCTTCCTCAATCATATTCTTCATCCGAGCTTCTTTTCCTCCATTTTCATTAATTTGCACTTGTTAAGAATGATTTAAAATAACCACCTTGAAGCAAATCCCAATCTTCTCCGATTGTCATCATAAATCATTAACGTCATATTGTAAACGGTGATATATAGTATCTGACTTACTCTTGACGGTCACTTACTTATGAGCACATTAGGAACAGCAGTGATGCCAAGCACTAATCCTTGGGAGCTCTTCTCATCTCTCCACAACAACACCCTTACCATTACCCTCTGGCATTTATACACCGAATACAGTACTCCTGTATCCATTTGAGCACCTTACCTACTACTCTTACCTACTCTTCCTGTATACTGTATACAATTACCTCCTATATGGTACCACACCAAATGCTTTCTTACAATTAAGAAAGTTTCCTCAACCTTCTCTCTCTCCCTATCTTATTTTCATCACTGTCACATTACTGTTAGCACTATTATTATATTACAAATGAAATTTTAAACTCGTGTGGGTCCATCAATGCAGAAACTTTAGGAGGTTCAAGAGAAATCTGCCATTTCTAAGCCTGTGCTGGTTGTCTCAGATTTATCTATTTTTTCAAGGTGCTCTGTTATTTTTTCTCACTCATTTCTAGTAGCCTAGGTAATATGCTAGTCAGTGAACCTTGTTTACTGAGTTCACATATGCAGTCTTCCAGCTGTCCAGCAGTAAGTTTCCTTAGTTATGCTGTATATCCTTGCTATGGGAGGTTACAATTTTTCTGCGTCTCATAATACCAGAGGTGAAATCCTTTGATATACTGTACCTCTGGTGGGTTTTCTTACTCTACACCCCAGCCCTGGGCGAAGTTTGTCTGGTGCTTTCAAGGTCAACCAAGCTGTAGCTCCTGGTAGCCTGCTGGCCCACTGTCTGTTTCTACTATTGTTGCCCTAAATTTCCTTGGAGCTCTCACTTCCTCCTCTGTGTTTAATTTTTTTTCTAATATTTACGGCTTGCTCCTTTCACTTCCTCCTTCTGGTATCTACCCTGATTCTTCAATACTTCAATTCCTTAGTGGTAATCCCCCTTATATATGAAAGGAGGGAGATGCTAAGTCTTGATCCTTCTATATAATTTTGTCTGACTTGCAGTTCATGTACACTAAATGGTGGGAGGGAAGAAATTAGCAAGAGAAGAATAAATGTAACAATAAAATGGTATAAAATACCGACAGATTGTTAGGTAAGACACATATGCAACAGTTAGGTATCTTTATTTCGAAACGTTTCGCCTACACAGTAGGCGAAAACCTCTACTTGTGAGAATGGCTGGATTTGAGAGGGACCTGACCTCTCAACGTCTACGTTCTTACTTCTACCAGTGACCTACGTCTCACCTCCTGGCGCTATATAAGGCTCCATCCTATCACTTCAACTCCATATTGTTTCAGACAATGGAACAATACTCTTCTCCAGACTGAGGGACTGACCACCTCAAAACTTTAAGGGTGATGGACTGATTACATCGTCTTCAAGTCTCTTCTGCTTCTATCAACTTCTTTGTACTCGACTGAAGAAGCCTACTGTGTAGGCGAAACGTTTCGAAATAAAGATACCTAACTGTTGCATATGTGTCTTACCTAACAAGAATAAATGTAGTTACAAATCTTATAACTATGATACCTTAATTCACCAAAAAACTGTATCTAGGAGAGGAACCTTATGGCATTTTGGTCTGTCCTAGACTACTGTCTGTCCAGAATGGACTGAAATGTGTCATAAGGTTCCTCTTCCTCGTGAGGATTTTGTTCCAGCCATGGTATTTATGATGGTTATTCAAGATACTGTGATAAGATTATCATAATAAAAAAAGAAGCCCTAAACCCACTAGGGTCATACAGCGTTGTACTCCGATAAGAATGTTGCCTTTCAAGAAATTGGTATTTTAAATTTTACAAAGTAATTATCCACAATAAAACTTGTATTGTTATTAGCAGATGACGTGTATATACAGTATATCACAGTCGATATTCAGGTTACTAAAATGCCTACCAATTATTTTAATTGCCAAATGACAAGTACTCACGTAAAAGTTCAGAATGCTATAAATCACATTAAAAACTTTTACAATAAGGATGTATTTTAACTTCAAACATAAATACCATGCATATGGAACTAGTTTCACTGCTCATTTCATCTCTTATTCCAGTAAATAATTACTATAGCTATTACTGAAACCATAAGATATTGCCCTTTATTTACATTCCAAGGATATTCAATGTGCTTTAAGGTACCTTGTTACCAGTCATATAAATAACTAATTAAGTAAAAAATAATTTAAGGAGCCATTAAATTATAATTTTCTCTTGGATTATCACTAGAGACCTTTGTTTGGATCATTACGTAATTAACCCAGGATAACCTAAGAAAACCAAGCAGGATATCAGTTTCCAATAGGGCTACCTGAAGAGGATCTCAGGGGTCAATGCCCTTACAGCCTGGTTTCAGACCAGACGATCTTCCTCAAGGGGCAACATACAACAGTTAACCAACACCCAGGTATCTTATTTACTGTAAATCAACAAGGAGTTACTGTAAGGTGACTTCCCATACTTCTTGCCCCACCCAGGATTCAAACCCTTTCGTTTGTGAGTCACTAGCACTGAACTCAGTATCAAACTTTGTGTGAATCTATATAATGAAAAAAAAAAAAAAACTAAAATGCCTGGATCCAACAATTTGCACTTAAGTTAAATTTGGTGATGCTACTAATAAATGATCACCAAGACTCGATCATTATGAAAAGATTTCCTGAACATATATACGTACATAATAAAAATAAGATCTTTGAAATAATAAAATGAAAACATTAAGGAGATAACTATTATTTGGGGAAAAAATAAAGATGTTGAGGGGCTTCACACACGGAGGGCCCGGGTTCGATTCCCGGCGGGTGGAAACATTTCGACACGTTTCCTTACACCTGTTGTCCTGTTCACCTAGCAGCAAATAGGTACCTGGGTGTTAGTCGACTGGTGTGGGTCGCATCCTGGGGGACAAGATTAAGGACCCCAATGGAAATAAGTTAGACAGTCCTCGATGACGCACTGACTTTCTTGGGTTATCCTGGGTGGCTAACCCTCCGGGGTTAAAAATCCGAACGAAATCTTATCTTATCTTAACTAGTTTTAATAAGACTGGCCCTAGATCAATAAGGGAAAAATCACTGCAAATAAATCATTGCAACATCATAAAATTTACTCAATGCTTAAATACAATAAAACCAACAACACTCAGGTAAAGAAAACTTATAATAGAGATATGACCATGAAGAGTATAGGAGGAAAAGGAACGTTTATTGTGTGGAGTCACGAGAGATCACCGGCCCTATGATACAGGACTCCAATGCAGTACTTACGTAATTTCCATGATCTTTTAGACAGGTTGGGAGACCGACTAGGGTTCATGTTGTCTCAATAGGATAATCCTCCATCCAACTTAAAAAGCCGTGGGAGGGGCGACAACGTTCACAAGGAATCAGCTGGTCTTTGAACCCAGTGTAAACAACCACCTTTTAAAAGTCCACTAGTAACACTCCCTCGAGGAGCACCTTAGGTGAGCGGCGCCATCACTTGCCTCACCTAAGACACTCACGCTCTCCCACACACGATAAAACACACCACTGGGTAACTGTGAGCTTAGGTGTCACCGCTGGCCTCCACTGACGACTCCTCAACGACAACATTTCAGGTTTTCGGAAACCAGATGCAATGTGAGGAGGTGAGTGTGAAGCAGAGTTATGATTGGCTGCACCATGGCAGGCAGCACCTCCATCATCCAATCATATTATACTTCCAATGTTTATTATGCCTTTCAGGAAAACACACTCAAATCAAAAACTAAGATTATTTAGTAAGTAAATAAGCAAGTAAGGTTATTTACCTTTAACTTTGCATATTATAAATAATATCAATATACTGCATAATAGCTTATGTGTATATTGACCAGGATAACACGCAAGAGTCAAACAAAGTGACTTATTGCCATCAGGATCTTAGCATTATTATTATTATTATTATAACGTCTTTCTCAAGAATATTACAGTAATGTAGTAAAGCTATTTATGTTTCTTACAGAACTTGTCAGTAAGAGTATATAGATTAATATATTTCATATACTATAAATAATTGAATACTCTTTGTTGATCAATAAAGGCTTCACTTGTACGGTAAAGACATGTTAACTTTTGAACCTTTAGTTCCTTCTATTTGGAAATACATGATCCTTTTATAATTTTAGCCAACACTTTGGAAATATTCCCTTTCCGAAGACCTGGAAGCAAACCTTAATGCAGCTTAATTAAGCTCTGGTGACCATTAACCCCTCTCAACAATAAGCTTGGGTGGGTTGACGGTAGGGTTCACCTGGCACCTCCAGATGTCCCAACCCTTAAACTCCAACAATAACAATAACAATGAGTGGAGGTTTTACTCGCTGGCTTCTTGTTTCTCAATCCAGGTTGTCCCAGCCACCAGCTGCATGGTATACCACTTCACTTTCTGTATTGTGTGCATAAGAAGGGAGGAGCACTGCATCAGGCCTCAAACACCTATTATGCAGCCATAAAGGAGGAACTGGTAGCCTGATCATGTCATGGAAGAACCCCAATGGAAATAAGTCACTGTCTGACTTTTTTGGGTTATCCTAGGTTCTCTACACATAGGCTGCTATGTATGATAATTCTATGTAACTGTATTTGTGTATACCTGAATAAACTTACTTACTTAAGGCCAATCGTAATAAAAACCAGTCTAGGAAGAACTATAGAGTACCTAATGAAAGTAGCTACAGAAAGAGACTTTTCGTATAGTTAACATTAGTGGAACAGTTAAATTCATCTGATTTTTTTTATTTCTAATGTTCCTATAATTCATTTTCATGTATGTGGTTTACTCAGGATATTCCTGTTGGTTTTATATTTATTGTAATCCATTTTCATGTATTTTATCTACTCAGTTTATTCTGTTTTCATTGATAGTTATTATTCATTTTAACTACATCTAATAATTAGGCTGCTAATAGTTATTATAATGACTGTAATGGAAATAGTCACTTTGCCTTTTTTGTCTTCATTGGTAATTTACACATGCTACAATGCAAGATAGTTTTAATCATCCAAAAATTATGTAATTGTACCTAAATAAACTTACTTAGGCCTACTGGCCTATGCTGAACAGGATCAACTTTCATCCATCTGCACCCACTCATATACTTGTTCAACCTATCATTAAAACTACCCAAAGATTTTGCTTCAGTAATGCTTCTTGGGAGTTTGTTCCACTCTTACACAGCTGGAATAAATGCCTATAAAAGTATTGTAGTATTAATATAATTTTTATTTGGTGAACTCACTAGGTATTTATATAGATTGAATGCTATTTTTAATATAATATTAATTTTATTTGGTTGTTAAAGCATTAGACTTGGTCGAAAGATAGATTACTGGGTTTTCTTACGTTATCCAAAACAAGAATGTACTTTCCTGTGGGATGGATAACATGGATGTTATTTGTAATATAAAAGATAGGCAGTTTTCTGTCCCTGGGAAAAAGTAAAGTAACCAAAAGATTTTAATCTGGTTATTAACATGAGAATGGGGGTGGGATATAGTAACCCAGGATAACTGGAGAAAGTCAGTTTTGCTTATTTCCATTAGGTTCCTTTGATCCTCCTCCCCAAGATGCAAGCTGTGAGTCTGTGAATACCCAGTCACCCATTTACTGATAGGTCAACAGGGACAAAAAGTATAAGGAAATGTTCCCAACATTTTTACTCCTGGGTTCAAACCAGGGTCCTTTGGTTGTGAGCTGAAGGTGCTACTACTGAAGCCATAATGGGAGGAAGGATTGAAACTCATGAAATACTTTTGAGCCAAGTGACTGAGGTTATGCTTTTCTGAGTGCCTCCAATTCCAAAGGTGGTGAATGACACCTACAAGCATTGAGTTTCTTTGTCATAAACCATAACTCTTGTACATATATGTTTTATGACCCAAAGTATGGCTTCTACATGCTGTTGTGTCTTGTAATTTTAAAGTTTTTTACATTTTCTCTTATTTCTTCTTTCAACATACTGCCCATACCCACTGAAGCAGGGTGGCCCAAAGGAGGTATTAAGTATATGATCTTAAGCTCCAATAGGCATGTTGAATTGGAGTGAGTGGAGATAGTTTTTTGGGATTTGACATGCTGCTAGAGTGTGAACAAGGAAACATTTATACAGGGATTCAGAGAAATCAGTTAACCAGACAAAATTTTGAGGTTGGTAAGGCCAGTGTCTGCACTTTGAAGAATAGTTATGAATGTTGCAGTTTGAAAGTTCACCTGAATTGTGATCTTATATGAAAATAGTTAGAGAAAGACTAATGTTGAATATGTTTCCTTCATTTGGTAGCTGCTGTAGAAATAAGAGCAGTCTCTGAAAATGTCTGTTTATTGACCCATATAAAACATATCTTAGTGCTTGTTTATTAGTCATTGCTCATTGCAGGTGGCATCAGGCAGCAAGCAGATGGTACACAAATGTGCACAAAACAGAATACCTCCAGGGACAGTCACCCGAACCACGAGTGAGGGAATATTTCTATTATGTTGACCATCAAGGAATGGTATGTGAAAAATTCTGAGGTACTATGAGTGTAAATTTCTATATATTTGTTAATTATGTAAAAGTTTATTTAAGTAAAAGGAGGTATGTACATAAATAATTTGCCTTATTTCAATTTACACATATTAGTGCAGTATTTGCATACATTTATATACATCTAACTCAAAATAATCAAATTATATTTTCATTTTTAAAAAATTTCAAGCTTGAATAGGGAAATGTGGGCATACTGTACATACTGTAGTAATATTTTTGTAAAGCCCATATGACAGTGTTTCTGACCTGAAGAACTCTTTGCATTATATTAATTTTATTGGAAAATATGTGTAATTTATGCCTGGTACTGTATACTGTGAGTGTGATAGATAGGGGTGAAAAGAGACAAATGGTTTTTAATGGATGTGCTAATGGAATGTGAGTAAGGTAACTTGTGTAATGATTCAAGGGAAACTTTTTGGCTGGACTTAAGTCCTGGAGGTGGGAACGGCAGTATTTGCACTCTGAAGGATGGGTGGGGATGTTGCAGTCAGAGGGGCATCTGATTGTGATGTCAGCACACTTCTGGAAAGACTAAGTGAATGTGTTTTCTTCTTTGGGCCACCCTGCCATAGTGGGAGACAGCCATTGAGTTAAAAAAAATAAATATAGATCATCATATGCTAATAGAGGTTGCTAATTACAGAAATAAAAAATTGGCAATACATAGTTATAATGTTTAAAATCCCAATGTTAATGAGAAATTACAAGTTTGCTTCTGATATCTGCAACAAAAATAATTTATTATTCTAATTAGAATGAATTTTTCCAGCTTTTTTTGGATGATGCAAAAATCAAGAATTTCACATCCTGCTTTAAAGGTAGGTAATATTGTGATGAATGGCTTGAAAAACCGACAAGTTGAAGATTGAGACACTTATGCAGCATATGGGAATCTTTATCCAGGCTGAGGGACTGATTACCTCATACTCCTCCTCTCCTTACGCCTTCCTCTTTGTATTAGACTGATGAAGCCACTGTGTGGCGAAACGTTTCCTGAATAAAGATTCCCATATGCTGCATAAGTGTCTCAATCTTCAGGTAATATTGTGTATGTGTGTATATTCAGTCTACTACATAAAGTATTTTGCAGCATGTTAAAGATACGATGGAATACTGTACTGTAAAATGCTGTGCAGTATTTTCTATGCCATATGAGCTTGCAAATAAAGAAATAAAGCATTTTTTAATACTTACTATACTTTCATCAAGGTATTGAAGTAGCCAACTTGAGTATTATTTCTGTAAATTATCACTTCTGTATTTCTATAATTTAAATAATAAATGCATTATGACAGACTTGTGAATAGTAAAATAGACGGTTTATGTGGTTTAAGGCTAAATACTATTTGAGGGTCTTTGAGGCTGCATGTCACCTGTTCACCCCGGTCAAGAATGCATTAATCACAATATTAGGGATAAGAGTAAACTCTCACATATACACACACTATTCTCATAGTAGAAATTGGTAGTTCACTGGATGCAAATGTGTGTAAGGAGATTAATATGTTCTTATGTATTGTAATGGGTGATACCTGCTCACTAAATACTTTACTTTCTCAGTGTTTGTTGGTTTAACTTTCAAGTTTGTAAGGATTGAATGCCTAATTCCTCTAATTGAAACATACAGTAATTTCTGGTTATTTCAATATCTTAAAAGTAATATTTGGAAAAAGAGAATGTGTTAAAGACATAGAAAAAGAAACTGATAAAAGGCATAAGAAGGGGAATTGCATGGGTCTTAGACCAAATAAAGGCTTTTGTTTCACTAGCAGTGTATTTCCTCTGGTAACTGGGTTATCAGTGGAAGTACACTGCTAGTGTATTTCACTTCATCACTGCATTTCACTCCATCACTGTCTTGCCAGATGGAGTGAATGATAATGAAAGTTTTTCTTTTTGGGCCACCCTGCAAATGTGTTAATAAAATAAAAAACTGGGTTCTGTCATTCATCTCATACATAACGTTTTTTTTATTATTATTTTTTTTTTTTGCTGTTTAATACACTGTATTATGATTTTTTTAGTCTTTCTCTTTCTCACTATGACTTCCCATAGTACAGTTCATGTTGTATTACCCACTTGGGTTTAGTGCTATTCTGTAACTGTAATTATAATAATATAAATGTTGTAACTCATTGGCTATACAAAATATTTTTTATTAGTACATGTATGTAAATTTTTCTAATTAATATTTCTTTTGCAGATAAGAAGTTCCTTCAGTTTTTCTTCAGTCGACTTCGCTTCAATGAAACAAATAAATATCCAGAGTTTCCATTTTTATCTCTATGTGGTCGTGAGAGGAATTACTTAAGGTGTGATGATCTGCCACTGGTTTTCACAAATTTGGTAAGAGTAGGCACATACTGTTATATCAAGTAGGGATTTGACAACAGGATGAATTTTTCAAGTCATTGAAATGAGTAATATATTTTCACTGAATGCCTCATCAGTGTTTCTTGCTTCAAATTTAAAGTTTTGGATATTCTGTACCTGTATCTCATGTGAAAGTGGATGAAGTCTCAGATGTATGAGAGTACAGTACACTAGTAAGCAAAATACTGTCAAGAATTTTCAGTATATTTATAGCAGTTATAATACTGCATATTGTTTTTTAAAGGAATATTAACAACTGCCTTTAGTTGCCCATGGTATCATGAGAAAATGATTGGTTAATAGCATGATGTTAATACTAGTAGTAAAGGGAATGGGGTTCTGACAACTCTGTTGTACTACAATTTCAAATTCAAAGCCCACCCCTTTTCCTTGACATTGTTTTTAGCACTGGCCATCTCCCACCAAGGCAGGGTGACTTAAAAAAAAAACTTTCACAATCATTCATGACAGTTCAGATGTCCCTCTACACAGCAAATATCACCACCCATCCTTTAGAGTGCAGGCACTGTGTGAAATTTGGGTACCAGTTTATGTAAATTTACCTGATCTTCATGCTGAGATGCAAGTCACTAGACAACACTTTTCTTGCAAAATCTATATAATGTAACTTATGAATTCTTAATTTATATAAACCTCTTCATTAAAAAGTTTGAAATATTCAATATATCAAGAATATGCAAAATAGTTAAAAGAAGATGGCAATGACTTTATTTTATTTACCCAGAAAATTAGTAACCCAGACTCATACATTATGATAATTACTCTGTGATTTCACTGTACAGTACCTTTAACCCTTTCAGGGTCCGTCCCGTAGATCTACGGCTTTACGTTCAGGGCCCAAACCGTAGATCTACGCCATGAGCTCAGCTCACTCTGATAAACTGTGAGTGGTACATTTGGGCCTAGATATGAGAGAATACATCTATGTGGTATGTGTGCACCACATAAAACAGATCCTGCAGCACACTGTGTATAATGAGAGAAAAAAAATGAAATCATGATTTTTCGATTAAAACAGCAACTTTGCAGTGTTTTTTCGTATGTTTTTTATAGTTGTATTTGCGATTTCTTGGTCTCATTTGATAGAATGGAAGACATATTACAGAAATAGAGATGATTTTGATTGGTTTTTAGCACTGGAAATGGCTTGAAACTGAGCTCAAAGTAGCGGAAATGTTAAATTTTTGCCGATATTCAAGAGTAAACAAACGGCCTCACTCGTCTAATACACATCAGCTGGTGGGTCTAATATACATTCACAAATATGGTGATGATATTTATACAATTATTACAGTATTGCATAACAGTAAATCTTTATTTTTTGGGTTGTGAATAAAAATTCATTATGTGAATAAAAAATCAAAATGGAATTTATTTGTAAAGCCTCAAAACATAACTAATGAACAGAGGAAATGTTAGTTTAGTGCCAGGAATGCCTACATTGTTCATTCTGGACCCTATTTTGAAATTGGAATATTTTGAACTTTGTGTTAAATTGGCCAAATTAACAATTTCCGATCACTTTATTTTGTAGTTGAAACAGTTGACTTGGCGATTTCTTGTGCTCAATCGATAGAATAGAAGTAATACTAGTGAAATAGCTAAGAATTTGGTTGATTGGAATAATGTAATTGACCTAAAATAGGAGTCAAAGTCGGCAAAATCACCGATTCGTAAATATCGCTGACACATCAAAATTCGCGAGAGCATAATTTCGTCAGTTTTCCACCAAATTTCGTACTTTTTGTTTTATTACCTTCACAAAAAGATTCTCTACGATTTCATAAGAAAAAATAACAAATTTTTTTTTTGAAAATTCTTGGACACTGGTGCATGACTCCAGATTTGGGCCTTGGACCCTGAAAGGGTTAAGTCATGCCCATACTATAACTGTATTTCTACAATTAGTTATTGAACATGTTGGAGATTGAAAATCGAGTGAAAAGCTATTAAATGATAAAGTTGTATGATGAACTTCCCTCAGGCTTAGCCATGACACTCATTTGTGTTGTTGGTTTATAGGTCCACCACAGCTTAGTAAACACCTCTCCACATCTCCCAGTCAACAATCTGTTACACCACTGGGAGCAGGGCTTATGTAGCTCAAACTGTCATAAACATTATATATGAACAACCTCTCACGCCAATTTATCACAATCCTACTATATTTTTCGTGGTTACTACTTTCTCAAATGCATTCATTTTTAGTACTAATTTGGCATCATTGAGACCTGTAGTGTGCCAGATTAGTGAGTTTGCCGGATTACAGAGTGGTTAGGTTAGAACACACTTAATTAACCTATCAACAGAGACTCTTTCTGCTACATCTTCCTCATTTTCATCACTACTTTTTCCTCCACTGGCTTACTGCTGTGGATTTACAACCGCACAATTTCTGAGTCGGTATAATGATGAAATTTGAAAATATGCTAGCTGAAATTAGTGCCGGATTACTGATAGAACCAGATAACTGATTGCCGGATTAGTGATGGCCGACCTGTACAATTGTTTGGTATAGGTGTGGCAATTTCTGTTATGTTTAGTTCAGTGAATCTTTATATGTAACAATGTTGAAATGTTAATGGGTCCATTGGATGCTGGTTCTGATATTTTTGTACAGTAATAATATTTTCCGGTTAGCCGGACTTGAATCCTGGAAATGGGAAGTACAATGCCTGCACTTTAAAGGAGGGGTTTGGGATATTGGCAGTTTGGAGGGAATCTAAACTGTCGTATCTGAGCACCTCTGCGAAAACAGTGATTATGTATGAGTGATGGTTAAAGTGTTGAATGATTAAAGTTTTTTCTATCTTTTTGGGTTTTTCTTTGTCTTTGAGCCACCCTGCCTTGGTGGGAAACAACCGACGTGTTAAAAAAAATAATATTTTTTCTTTGGCTTTACTTTATGCTATATATTTATTTAATATAGATATGGCACATTCCTGCAAGTTTTGTACATTTTTGTAAGGAAATGATGGTGAGTGAGTGCCTAATGTTTGGATTGATAAGCCTTGTTGTATCCAACTAGGACTGTGGTGGTCTTAGAACAAGTGTATAAATATAGTGAAATTACTAATGCGCCTAACGTAAATTTTATTTCATAGAACTTTAGACAAGCTTTAATTGAAAAAATATTTTTTCAGGTAATGAAAGACATTCCTTTGGGACTAGAAGAGCACCTTGCATATAACAATGCAGGAGAAGCAATGAGTCATCAGTTCCAACCATCAGAATTGTGTATGCAAGTGGAGACAGGACGAGTGTACCACCCAGCTCCTGAACATGTTGGAGGTGTGGGTCTAGTCAGATCCCAGTTATCTATCCAGCTATCTGCACACTTTATATTTAAGAACAGTGAGCAACAACCTCCTACCCACATAAGCTGGAAGGGTAGGCAAGTAGAGTTGTCTCAGAATTTAGTACCAGTGTTGCAAAATTTAGAGCAAGTTAGGCATTATAGTTTAGGGCTTATGAATGATGAAACCTAATTTGTGTGTAACTCTCTAAATTTTTAATAATTTTAATTGTACATATGCATATATAAAATTAAAATTTTTGCTGTCTGGCCCTGGAGGCCCAGTTGAGATATCACACCTATTTCCTACCTAACATCTACCTTTCCTGGCCCTGGTATGGCTCTGAGTGAATATTTAAATTTTTTTTTGAGTTTTTTAAGCATTTTCCATTAAATTTATATAAGGTTTAAAATCATTAATTTATAGTCAGAAACTGCTTAAGTTTTGCTCTGTTGTTGCTGTGCACAGATTCCCACTGAAGTATTTGGGCTTACCCAGATCTGATTAAGATTTGTCACTATGTCAACACTTAACCTTCTAGCTGGAAATGTGTCTGTTTCTGCCTGTTGTCATTAGCCTCATGATCATACTGGCCTCTCTCCACATTCCAGAGTTTGTTAGCTAGTTGTTCTCAGCCATTACAATAGCAGCTGGGGTGCATATTGGGTTGGGATCATCTCGATGCCTTGCTGGGCTCACCTCGTTTCTTGTTTTTGCTGATAGGGTAGATCTTATTGTCTTTTATTTTTCCATCTGAGAGCTCCTCACTGACCATGACTTCAGGTGGGGGTTGGACTTTTATTATGGAGTTTTATTCTCCTGTCTTCTTCAGCCCATCTTATATTCTGTGGATTCTACTTCAGTGTGGTCAAAGTTTTTTCCCTGGCTGTAGCCTAACTTCTACTATAGTGGACCCCAATTTACTCATCTCCAGATATTTGGCCTTCAACCACTATTACTATGAAATTAGCTGGAGGTTCTCAAGGCCACCCTACAGCTAGGGGGATCTCATCTGCATTTTGGTTATGTTCATGGTTGTGCTTCCATGTTTTTCAACATGTCCTTCTGGAAGGCCTTCCAGGGCTTTCTATATTACCCTTTACAATGGTTCCCAACTGCATTAAGGCTTACCTTTACCTTCATACCTTTAATGGGTTTCAAGAGTCAACCAGGCTGTTCCTACTGGTGGCCCACTGATCCCCATATCCATCACAGCCTGGTTAATCCAGTACTTAGAGGTACCTGCCTGTCCAGCCTTCTACACCAAGCCTGTATGTCAGGCTTGAGCACTCAGCCAGGTTAACACACTTTGTGCATTTCACCGGTCTAATGGATTCAGCATTCATTAACAAGGGTCCCAACATCACTCTTACCCCCAGTGTAGATTTCCTCCATAAGAACAGGTATGTGAACAACTCCCAATACCTTACTGTTGATATCAGGGTACAGTGCAGCCTGGGTGGCTCTGTCCTCTATTCAGTGAGGGCCTAAATGACTTCCCTCTCAGTGACATGATGAGAAGACTCATACCCACCTGGCCCCTTCATTGATCTATTTTCATATCTCACAGCTCATGCTCTCCTCTCTGTAAGGGTTCACTGCTTCAGGCAAGCATTCACCCCACATCCAAGTGTGTTACACCAGGGTTGTGGCATGCTTTTTTAACTCGGTTGTCCTGTGTTCCTCGGCTTTTCTCCAAAAATGGTTTGAAACTTACCTCAGGCACTATACTCGCCAGACTACAACCTATCTGGGGGTTTCCCTCCCTGACATTTATACTTCCTCCGTGTAAGGTCTCTTTTCTTGTTTTCCCCATGTTTCCCCAAAAATTATCTTAGATGCTTGCCTCTTACTCCCTACACATCCACTGTCACTTCACTAGAACTAGGACTCCCTATGGGTTGCTGGTTATTGTCTGGGTCCATTGAGGGGGTTTGAGTGTATGCTTAGCAAGGTCCCATATATTCTCCTAACCATTACAGAATTTAGTTGCTAGGGTTCTTGCTTATGGTCTTAGGCCTCTCCTGTACATCAGTCTGGCATGGTTGGGTCTATATACATTTGTATGTCTAGATATGTTCTTGGTAGTAGGTTGGTAGACAGCAACCACCCAGGGAGGTACTGCCATCCTGCCAAGTGAGTGTAAAAAGAAAACCTGTAATTGTTTTACATGATGGTAGGATTGCTGGTGTCCATTTTTCTGTCTCAAGAACATGCAAGGTTTCAGGTACATCTTGCTACTTCTACTTACACTTAGGTCACACTACACATACATGTACAAGCATATGTACATACACACCCCTCTGGGTTTTCTTCTATTTTCTTACTAGTTCTTGTTTATTTCCTCTTATCTCCATGGGGAAGTGAAACAGAATTCTTCCTCCGTAAACTATGCGTGTTGTAAGAGGTGACTAAAATGCCAGGAGCAATGGGCTAGTAACCCCTTCTCCTGTATAAATTACTAAATTTAAAAAAAGAGACTTCGGTTTTTCTTTTTGGGCCACCCTGCCTTGGTGGGATACGGCCGGTTTGTTGAAAGAAGTCTAGATATGTAGAGCATCTTGTGCAATTGAAGGGGGAATGACTCGACTCTCATGATTAGATCAGTCTTCAGTGGGTTTTACACTTATGTTCGTGTGATGGATCTTTGTTTATGTTTACTGTACGTGTATTCAGTTTGCGTTGCTTGTACAGAGTCTGGTATGCAAGGTCTTGGCCTTGAAGGGAATGACTCACACTTGCTTACATGCATTTCCACTGCATGCTTGTCCTTATGTTGCTGTAAGAGATCTCTTTCTACACCATTTCTGCATGATCTTTAGTCCGATATTCTAATTCCATATTTTTACTGGTTCCTGTGTGCTTCAATGTCTACTGCCTTGCAGATTCCATCTCTGCTCAACAGATGCTTCCCTGATTCGGTACATGTGTACCTATTGTTGCTGAGCCTTTGAGACTCTTCATAGCACAAATCTACAGTGGACCCCCGCTTAACGTCGCCCAAGCGACCAATTATGTCAAGTGTATATTTGTAGGTCTTTTACGTATGTCTGGGGCTAGATGGACTATCTCTACTTCAACAATTGCCTTATTTGGGAAAAATTCGGTCATTTACTGGCACCTGAGACTATACTACTGAATGAAAAAATTGTTACCGGGTCTTACTTTGAATGCTGAAAGAAGGTTTTTTGTGTTTGTGGGGAAGGGCAGAAGGGGTTCAGGGTTTCGCCTCCTCTCCCAGCCGTTTTTTTGTTGACAGCTAAATCTCAACAGGTATGCATCCCCCTTTTCTTCCAGCTGGCTTTTGCACACCACAACAACAGCTAAATGAAAGGTGAAACTAAACTGGGAATAGTGGAGCACGTAAGACCATGTTAGGGCTAAGAATGGTAGATATTAGATGGGAAATAGGTGTGATATATTACACCTGGGGCTTCCTAGGTCCCTGACACAGCAATGTGCCTCTCGGCATTCAAAATATAGATTTACCTGTATAGGTAATTATTCTTTCAGTACATACTGTATATGATTTTACCTATCATGTTATCTAGTTTGTGTGTATAAAAACTATTGCATAATAAGGAGTTGCATTATAAGTATGAGTCAGAAATATTAACCAGATTTGTTCAATGACTCTTTCTAAATTGATACTTTTTCTACTGCTAATTTGTTCTCTTTTTTTAAGTGATTCATCCAACTAAGAATATTTCTATACGCCCTAGAGAGGTTAGCATTGGCCACCACTGTGACCACAAATGCAGGTTTCTACAGATGAATCCCACACCAGCATGGCTGTGGCAAACTCTAGCTCAAGTCCCCTCAAAGCCACCATCATGGGGTTAAACCTCACCCGTTCTGTGGTTTGTTTGCAATCGTGTTATTACAGTTTTGTGAGACACAGTACTGAGATGTGTAACTATGTCTGGTGATGCTTTTTACTGAGACATTTAATTGAGTCTGTTTTTAGTAATTAATTCAGTATAGATATTACGTTACCTGGAGTTTACCTGGAGAGAGTTTCGGGGGTCAACGCCCCCGCGGCCCGGTCTGTGACCAGGCTCCGTTAGAAGAGAGTATTTTTATCCATGTAATAGATACCTGTAAGTCATGTGATCATAGCTATTGTTCTCAATATTCTGCAGTTTAAATTCAGTTTTTCATTTCCAACAGAAGCACATCATTCTCATTAAGGTGCACTGGAGTGGAATTGATTTCCATTGGTGGCGCACATTTCCGTTAAGGAGTGCCATGGCAGGCAGGCAGGAGAAAAAGCATTATTTTTTTGAGGAATTATGATGTTAATTTTTTTTTTTCAATCTGAGGAATGCAACCCTATTTTTGCCATGTTTTTCACTCCATGAATCTTGAAAATTATTTGCAGCACAGTTTTCAGGAACGTAACCCACATGAATTTTGAATGTCCACTGTAGTTGTACAGTGGATTCCAATGTAATGGTAATATAATTTATCAAAAAATGTTTTATAGAATTACAGTATTTATATTTTATTGTAAATCTGTGTTATATGCATTAATGTCCTACACATTTTTTTGTTTTAAATAAGGTACAGTAATTTGATTTTTAAAAATTTCATCAAGGTATTTTTTCTTGCTGTATTAACTTTAGTTTTTTATTTGTAAATTGCTTTTTCAAGACCAGTCAAGACTTAAGCAATGACTATGCTCTAGTTTTGTCATGTATTTCTCTATACTCATGATTCACTGTAGAGTACATATTTTGCTTACTCTTTCCTACTTTCCATGTTTTTATACCTCATGGAAAGGTGGTAAAAAGACACAACAAAAGGACACCTTCATAAATATGACATTTCACTTGAAGAATTGAGACACTTATGCAACATATGGGAATCTTTATCGAAGAAGCATTTCACCACACAGTGGCTTCACCAGTCTTATACAAAGCAGGAAGGTATAAGGAGAAGAGGAGTATGAGGTAATCAGTCCCTCAGCCTGGAGTCAATGTGTTCAGTCCATCAATCTTGTAGAAAGTACAGCACAGGGCTGTAGAAATGGCTTATATACTGTAGTCAGGTGAGGCAAAGCAGGAGGAGGTGGGGTCATAGTAGACCGAACACATCGACTCCAGGCTGATGGAGTGATTACCTCGTACTCCTCCTCTCCTTACACCTTCCTGCTTTGTATAAGACTGATGAAGCCATTGTGTGGCGAAACGTTTCTCTTCAATAAAGATTCCCATATGTTGCATAAGTGTCTTAATACTTGAACTTGTCGGTTTTCAAAACCATTTATCACACAAAAGGCAGCATATAAATATAGTGCTAAGAAGTAGAGTCGGGTGCTGGACATGGTTGAATTTGAGATGTCACATCCGAGGCAGGTGAGGTGACCTGTGAGGTGAAGTAAGGTAAGGTGCTGGCAATTTGTGTTTTTCATATTTCAAAATGGGTTCTGCTAAAATGTATTTCTTTCTGTTCTGTGAAGGACTCATGATCTACAGATTGGAGCTCCTCTCATCTTCCTTTGATCAAGCCTGATTATCTCCCATTTCCCAGGCACTGTATAACCCCCTTGGGATCAGTATCTTCCCATGCATATAATGCTTTAGTCTGCTAGCAGATGGGTGAGTACTGAGCATTTATGATATATACCCAACTGGGTATATATCACAAATGCTTAGCCAGCCTATAGGAATCTTCAGGTAAATGTTTCCTGCATTTCTCTTGATCCCTTCTATGTGATATAATTTTATTGGTGTAAGATGCCTATGTATAAGAGATTTTCATTAATACATTAATTATTAACTCCATGGGGAAGTTATATGTGAAAAGGCAAGGCAGTTGCATGATGATCTAATTAAGAAAATGCCTGGAACTAGTGCTCATATTGGTGAATTTAAGTCCAGCAAAGGTTGGTTTGAGAGATTTAAGAATTGTAGTGGCAGACACAGTGTGATAAGGCATAGTGAGGCTGCCATTTCTGACAAAATAGTGGCTGAAAAATGTGTGCAGGAATTTAAGGGGTACATAGAGGCTGAACAATTAAAACCCCAACAAATGTTCAATTGTGACAAAACAGGCCTCTTTTGGAAGAAAATGCAAAACAGGACCTACATTACTCAAGAGGAAAAGGCACTCCCAGGACACAAGTCTATGAAAGACAGGCTAACTCTCATGTTTTGAAGTATTGCTAGTGGGGATTGCAAAGGGAAGCCTTTACTTGTGTATCACCCTGAAACTCCCAGAGTGCTCAAGAAAAACATTGTCATCAGGCCTAAATTGTGTGTGATGTGAAGGGCAAACAGTAAGGCATGGGTCACTAGGGACGTTTTCCTCGATTGGTTCTATGACATGTTTGGCCCCAGTGTGAAAAAATACCCCCTGGAAAATAAATTGCCACTCCAGTGCCTCCTGTTAATGGACAATGCTCCTGCTCATCCTCCAGACTTGAAAGAGCGAATTGTGGGGGAGTTTAATTTTTTTTTTTTTTTAACAAGTCGGCCATCTCCCACCGAGGCAGGGTGACCCAAAAAGAAAGAAAAAATCCCCAAAAAGAAAATACTTTCATTATCATTCAACACTTTCACCTCACTCACACATAATCACTGTTTTTTGCAGAGGTGCTCAGAATACAACAGTTTAGAAGTATATACGGACATATAAAGATACATAACATATCCCTCCAAACTGCCAATATCCCAAACCCCTCCTTTAAAGTGCAGGCATTGTACTTCCCATTTCCAGGACTCAAGTCCGGCTGTATAAAATAACCGGTTTTATCAAAGTTAAATTTTTTCCCCCTAACACAACTCCTCTCCTCCAGCCCATGGACCAGCAGGTCATTTCAAATTTCAAAAAGCTGTACACCAAAGCAGTGTTTCAAAAGTGCTTTGAAGTGACCTCAGACACTGAATGACCCTAAGAGAGTTCTGGAAAGATCACTTCAGTATCCTCAGTTGCATAAACCTTATAGGTAAGGCTTGGGAAGGAGTGACTTGCAGGACTTTGAACTCTGCTTGGAGAAAATTGTGGCCACATTGTGTACAAGAGAGGGATTTTGAAGGGTTGGGGGCTAACTCTGAGGAGCCTATACTGGTTGTCGAATCTGTTGTGGCATTGGGGAAGTCCATGAGGTTGGAAGTTAGTGGCGAGGATATGGAAGAGTTGGTGGAGGACAATGATGAAGAGCTAACCACTACAGAGCTCCAAGAGCTTGAGGTACAACAGCAACAGACCACAGCTCGGGAATTTCCTTCAGAGGAGGGGGAAGAGAGATGAAGGAAGTTGCCTTCTTCAACGATTAAGGACATTTGTACAGTGTGGACAAAGGTGCAAGCATTTATGGATGAACATCATCCTGACACAGCTGTTACAAGCCGTACTGGCAACATCTACAATGACAATGTTGTGTCCCATTTTAGGGAAATCTTAAAGACACACCAGAAACATAACTCTCTGGACAGATTGTTGGTACGACAGGGGTCCAGTGACTCAAGCTGGTCCTAGTGGCATTAAAAAACAAAGAAGGGAATTAACCCCTGAAAAGGACTTGCTACCTGAAGTCTTCATGGAAGGGGATTCACCTTCCAAACACTAATACACCTCCATCCTCTCCCCTCCTGTCTCATCACTCATCAGTGTCTTCAATAAAGGTAAGTGTTATTTTAGTATTGTTTATTCTGCAT